TTTAAAAACTTTTTGGAAGTTTTCATCTTTTAACGTAACTTAGCATTTAAATTAACTGTTTAATGTTGTTTGTTTATTGTTGTTATACAAAGTTATCACATTTATAATTCCATTGAGTATGTAGTCAAATTCAATCGAAATAAGAAAGTGTATCACTGGCTCCAAAATCCATAGACAATGTCATTGTTTATGGATTTTGGAACAATTCATTTTTTAAATTGATGATACGAAATTGTTTAATTTTAAATTTTTTTATTAAGCCTGTGATTACGATTATAAAGGTAAAATTATTCCATGCTATGTTCTAAATGCTTTGTTTTACTCTCATTTAATATGGAAATGATGTAATGATTATTAAATCATTTTTAATGGAAATGTTTTTCTTATTGTTATATTTTTTGTACGCAATCTTAGATGTATGTTACATCGCAGCTACAGAATGTCTGAACAGATCTTGATGAAATTAAAAAAAAGAGAGATTGCAGTTTGACATGGCGTAAAAGTAACTAAGTTTTTTCAGCCAGAGAAGGACGCGGGCGACAGCTTATGAGACAAAGTGATTTACAATGTTACTATTGCGAGCTGTCTCAAAGTCTTCTATTTGCTAGATAACTAAGCTTATACATAAGCCCCTAGGCCTGCCTTACGCCGCATAATTCGTTATATGAACGTAAAAAGCTCCACCACCCTAAATTATGCAACCGTCATAAACCAGGCGAAAATAAAATAACTCGACATAGGCGTGAGTCACAAGATGTAATCATTTCTACAATGTTTTTCGTGTCCGTCAAAAACATTTTGCCTTAGCTATTTACAATGACTTACGCCATTTACAAACCTATGTTAATCAATATTAGAATTATTATTTAAATAACATAGTTAATAATCTTACAAATATCATAAATGCGATTATTTAGATGTATGGATGGATGGATGTTTGTTGGAAGATATTTCCAGATTGGCTCAACAGATCTTGATCAAATTTGGAATAGATGTAGAACATAGTCTGAAAGAATACACATGCTAGTCATTAGTTTTTTTTAATTCCCCGCGGATGCGGTCGCTGCCAACAGCTAGTTAGCTATATTATGACCGATAGCGCAAGTTTACATAGAGAGCGTCCTCAGATCTGCTAATGTACTGAGAGGAAACGCTTGTGACTTGCAGCATCTCGTCACCACATATATGTAGCTATTCCACATCGTACGTTATTAGTTTTTCTGTTTGCCGCTCGCAGTCTGAGATTTATGTCGAATAACTTGTTCACTTCGGAGTTTGTTATAAGTTAAGGTCGTTTTATGACTCACTACTTCTTTTTTAATTTTGAGAAAGTTTGATTTAACATTTAAAATGATTTGATATTTTGTTGTATTAAAAATTAAAATAATACAGGAAACCAAAGACAAACATATATATAGCAATCAGTCAACTCGAGGTTTTACGTTCTTTCGAAAGTATAAATCCAAACGTACATATCTGCTGATTTTGCGAAAATTAAATTTTGTAACTACTTCTCAAAAGTAAGTCGTCCCGGAGGCCAAATTTATTCCTCTTTCACTTCCCACCTTTTTCTTATAAGGAAAGGATGGGAAGTGTAAGTGGACTTTCCGGGTGAGAGGATGCATGGGAAGGGAAAATATTTTCTTTCTTTGCATCCTCTCCTCCCACTGTTAAATGTAGGCAACTCATATGCAATTGTCGATGGGCAACGGTCATTTCGCTATTTCAGCGATTTCAGGTGGCCGCTCGCTCGTTTGCCACCTTATGATATATAAAAAATGTTTTTACCACTTTTTATTTAACAGGTTGTGTTACAGTGACTTTAGAATTATCTTAAATAATTTATTAACTAAAGCTAATTTTCTTAGTTGTTTTTGCATAATTTAATCAATTTTAAAGTATTTAGCTTGAAGCTATAATTAAAACAGGATAATTTTGTGCTATTTTATTTCACATTTATTGTATTATATTTCAATGGAATCCAATTATTAAAATACTTTTGACAGAAATACCGAGGTTCATTTGAATATAGACAAGCATTCAACAAAAGCATACCGATCCAGTTTCTGACAATGTCACGTAGATATAAAATTAACGTAGAAAATATTTGCTTTATAAATATTTTATTAGCTGTGTCAATGCGTAGGGACTTGTGATTGAATTCATTGGAGTTAAATCAATTTTGTTTTTAAACGTGATCGTTAAAGGGACAATGCGAGTCACAAATTAAGCATTTTTTAAACTAAGTTAAAGGTTTTGTATGCACGTACGGTTTTGTACCTTTTGTATTTGCGTGTTTTTTTAGAATGGCATTTCCACTTATTTAACGTAAATAAAGAAGCATAATAAGTCTTTCCTAGATAATTATGTGGTGAGTGTTATATGCCAAGGTACTTACTTAAACGTAATTAGGTCTAATATATCTCAGATATAAAATGTCACTTTACCTCGGCCGATACCGACTCTGAAAAAATAATTATAATAAAACATAGAAATATTACAAGAAAGAGGATAAATTTCTTACTTACGAGAGTATTCATGACATTATTGCGTTGCTTTTTAGTGCATTTTGTTTGTGAATGTTGTTCATGAAGTCACCTTTCTTTTTTTCTTATTTTTTGAACCTTATCATGCTAATCCCAGTTTGATATATATACACGGCTAAACACTCACGTATATTCGTCCGGTGGCGGCACCGACTAGTTTCGAGCCCATAGGGGGCCCTTCATCGGGATGAGTGGTACTGGTATTATTTCGCGGACGCGGCCCGTTGCTCACTGATGATAGGCTCGAAACTAGTCGGTGCCGCCACCGGATGAATATACGTGAGTGTTTAGCCGTGTTTATATATGAGTTTAGTATAATGTCTCACGAAAGTTTGAATAATTTAATTCCAGTTTGACATACTCACTAAGAATTTGTATAGTACAATAGCCAAGACGTATCGCATTCACAATTACAATATTAAAATGACCGATTAATATAATATAAAAAGTTGTAATTTTAAATACATTAAAAAGAACAACAGTAAAATAACGAACGATTCTCAATGACGATAAAATTGTAAATTTGAACAGAGCTGCGAGATTACCACCGATCACTTTTATATTATCGTAAAATTCCAAAACGTGATATCGTTAAAACAGAATTATTCAACAATTTTGTAACAATATTACTCTTTTATCTCGTCGTGATTTCATTACGTACTAGCAGTTGCCCGCGACTCCATCCACACGGCAATAAAAAAAGACTAGTAATAAATGTAGCTTGCCAAGAGTGAAAGAATTTTTCTAAGTTACAGTAGATTCGGAGCTTATTCAATGCATATAAACAAACAATCAGATCTTTCATCTTTATAATGTTAGTATACCAAAACCTCAACCTTAACTTAGGGTAGGCTCCGGGCCCCTCGGTGGGGACGTATAGTGAGCTGATGATGATGATACCAAAACCGATTGATTATAAGTAAAGTGCATAACGCTGAGCCACCGACGATGCCAGAATAATTCGCAATTTAAATACGGGATCCATGAAGAATTTTTTAGATTTCATCCTATATATAAAATTCTCGTGTCACAATTTTCGTTCCCATAATCCTCCGAAACGGCTTGACCGATTCTCATGAAATTTTGTGAGCATATTGAGTAGGTCTGAATCGGTCAACATCTTTTTTTGATCCCGCGCGGACGGAGTCGAGGGCGACAGCTAGTATATTTTACAGGTCAAATTAAATCAATCACGTCAATTTAAATCTATATGCGAATTATTACTATTATATCTTCTATGTACCTAAGCATAATAATAATAAGAGAGTTGATAATGTGCGACACATATTGGCTTTGGGTATTACCAAGTTACTAAGATTTTTTTTGCCATATTTCATCATGTTATTTAATAAAGATTTTTGTGATTGTATGTCGGAGTGTTTTCTTAGTACTTGCCGTTGGAAGAGTTGTTTGTCTCCTCTCTTTTAACCATGGACTTCAGTTGCAGACTGATTTATTATAACTTTAATTATCACTACACAGTTTATCAGAGGTTCAAATGTCAAATACCTTCTTACGCTACAATAACATATCCTCTTTAAAAAGACGTCGTGCAGAATATTTTAATATTCTAGATTGATTATTGTTTCAGAGGTTGTAAGTGAAAAATAGCAAGCATAATCCATACTTCCATACTAAGTCTCTGTCTGTCTGTCTCGCTTTCACGCCACAACTATCGAACCGATTCAAATGAAATTTTCTTCACAAGTACTAGATATAGTAATATAGAACCTGAGAAAGGACAGGCTGTTAATGTTTGTAAAAAAATTACGCTCAAGGGTGCACAAAATAGGAAATAGGGGATGAAAGTTTGTAATACAATATGTGAGGTTTATGTGAATGTTTTGTAAGTTTAATATGTGTGTTATCGAATCTTTTATAAGTTTAAGTAAAATGATTAGCCTTAATAATTACACTGCTACCCAAAGTATAAAGCGAACGAACTCGCGGGCACAGCTCGTATAACATAATGCGTATTTCCCATCAAAAAACCCATCTGCTCTAGTTATCAGTATTACAGTTAAAGGTCAGTTAACCCTTTAACTGCGCTACGAAAATTTTTTGGTTCTTTTTTACATTTTGATCGTTCAGTTCTGTTCATTTAACTCTTGTTCTTGGTACTGGTAGTATTCCTCTGATGAGCAAAAAACACGTGCCACAAACAAATGTTCCAATTAACTACAGCACATGATTCTGATTATATTATTTTATTGTGGTTATCATTCAAAATTTTAGCCGGAACTGCTATTCGCTCGTAGATTTTTTTTTACACAAGGAAAATTCAATATATTGAGATAATTAACTTTTAAAAGTAAATTATAATGCGATAAATTAAGAAGTAAGTGATTCTTAAAGTGCAAGCTGTAAGCTTATTACTGGTTCTTTCTTTGCTACGGCAGTGGAAGTGTTAATTGAAGATAAGACTGTATCCCTATACAACATATGTTATATTTTGCTCGAGAACCCACTTTATAAGCGCCGTATTACTGGCAATCATTACTTGCAAAGAAATCGTGCTCACAAAATGTATCGTTTGCTGGCGCTTGTACTTTTGTTCAATTTTGCTGTTGGCCATTTTCATTATGACTTCTTTGATGATGACAGTGATTGTGGCTCGGGATCCCACGAGCAATTTGATGAACCCTTTCCTGGCCCCAGTCATTTCCCAGGCCCCAGTCCATTCCTGGGTCCTGGTCATTTCCCAGGCCCCGGTCCATTACCGGGCCCCGGTCCATTACCGGGCCCCGGTCCATTCCCGGGCCCCGGTCCATTCCCAGGTCCCGGTCCATTCCCAGGCCCCGGTCCATTCATAGGCATCGGTCCATTCCCGGGCCCCGGTCCATTCCCAGGACCCGGTCCATTCCCAGGTCCCGGTCCATTCCCAGGTCCCGGTCCGATTCCGCGCCCCGGTCATTTCCCAGGTCCCGGACCTTTCCCAGGTCCCGGACCTTTCCCAGGTCCCGGACCTTTCCCAGGTCCCGGACCTTTCCCTGGTCCCGGTCCTTTCCCAGGCCCCAGACCTTTCTCTTGCTCTGGCCCTTGCGATTGCCAGGGACCCGATAATAAACGTCCAATGGAAACTGACTTCGATAAGCTGGCTCGTTACGTGATCTCCGCCGACAAGCAGGTGTATAACAGTTGCAAGCAAAGCTCGTACAGCCGGGTGCGTGTGCTGCCGGGTGAGGACATGTACGCACTCAAGTACAACCTGCCTGAGTTCGCCGAGAGTGGCATCAAGTTGCAGATCAAGCACCGTGTCATCTCGGCCACTGCGGAGGCCCAGGGCGTTCCCACCTTCAAGGACTTGAGAATCATCCCGGAATTTGTGAAAGTGGCTGACGCGTCCTGGTCCTTCCAGAATGGTACTCTAACGGTTTTGATGCCGTACAAAAATCCTCTGAAAACCGAAGTAGCCTTAGATTGTACAAGTAATATTAATGAATCTGTTATAGATGTAGCCAAAATGACGAATTCTGAAGACGATCTGAGAATTTTGGGTTGATAGCCTTTAGAAAGCACTATAAGATGTTTGTGATTTATTTACGTTAAAGTTAAATGTATGTTACTCGTACAATGTATTAAACTTAGAATTAGTGTTAAAAAATAAAAATTGTGTGTAATTAATTAGAACCTAGCATTTTATTTCGACCAATTTTCAACTTCTTGCTTTATTCCATCTTATTGTGTTTTGATTGTAAAACTGTTATATTATTGAACTAAACATTAATAAGTTTCTTCTAAATCATTTTAAGTAATGAAATAAAATAAGTATACGATCCTCTACCTCCTACTTTCCATTATAGTATAGGAACTAGCAACGTTTTCGAAAAAGAATTTCAGGTCAGCTCATTTTGTGATATCTCGTTCATCTTGCTTATGGTTAGAGTCTATCTGGCATTAAAAGTCGCGTTAAAATTAGTTTATTCGTTTGGGTAATTAATCGGAACAAACACTGATTTCTGAAGAGACTATAATTTTTTTTATAGGAGATAGATTTTCTTCCTCAGATATCATAGTATCTTGAATTCATGCCTATAATTAACAGAGAAATTTTAAGTGTTGCTATATTTCATGATAACCAGATTCTATTTTATTTAAGACTATTAAGTAAATAAATAATTTATTTATCAGTCTTTGTGTAGAAAAGCAATCAATGCAATACATTAATTTACGCCTACAAACAATATTAATTGTGCATTTCCATTACAAAACTATGTAGTTTAGTATTTTACATATGTAGAAAACCATATTTTTGTGTTAGTTTTTTTCAAGGTGTTGAGCGAGTGGACAGTATGATGATGTAATGAAAGACTGGTTGTGGCGGATGATTGTAATGCAAAATGATTATGAAAGCAAATATGATTTGATATGGATGTCGTCGGGCGGAATGGCTTAGCGCAACTGGTAGATGCAGAGTGAAGGGCGCGCGGGGCGGCGGGTGGGGTCTGTAAGGTTGTCCCCCGCACCGCTGCCCCGCCGTCGGTGCAGTAGTACCAAACAAAGGAGAATCAAAAAAAGATGTCGAGTGCTCCGGCAGTGGAAACCCACGGTTCCAGATTATCGGGCTATTGCCTGCAATTTCGTTTACTAAGACTGATATACACATTTTTGTAGGAATTGGACAAGAAAGAGATTTATAAGAAAACACTTACGATAGCACAATTTAAAACTGGACTGGCAAAATACTTCTGCCGGCCGTTACAATCCTACTGGTTGGTGACGATAATCCGGAACATAGTTGCTGCGCCCTTTAGTGTTCGTTTTAATAACACACATATCAACTTTATTAACTATAACGTCTTCTTAACGCTAGCTTTATGATTATACGAGCTATCGCCCACGACTCCGTCTTCACAGAATTAAAAAAAATCTTAATTAGTAGCCTATGTGATCTTCCAGACGACGTTCTACATCTGTGCCAAATTTCATCAAGATCCGTTTAGCCGTTCCGGAGATACTTTCATACATACGTCCATCTATCCATGTAATCATTCGCATTTATAATATGAGTTAGATTATACAATTTGGGTTACTTTTAATAGAAAAGTAACACAAATAATATAGAATAGTTAACTTTCATCAAATTCAAACACTTAGATAACGGTTTGCGTAAGTATAGCGTGGTGACCGCATCTGTTTTGCTTCAAAAAACCCATTCGTGTACATATCAGTGGCGGTTAAAGGTCAGTTAATAAGTCTGATAAGTCTACATAAACACAAATTAAGCTTGACAACCTCCCTTATATACGTTGCACAAGTCTGCTTATAATCAATTCTTGTAATGCTTTTGTTCTGACAAAATGTATCGTTTGTTTGTCTTTTTGTTCTCGCTTAATTTGGCTTTAGGCCATTTTAATCATGACTTTAATTTTCATCATGGTGGTGATGACGATTGTGAATTTGATGACTCTGGCCCAGATTCAGACGAGAGCCAACACGGACCGCATGACTGGTCCGGACCTCATGACTGGTCTGGACCTGATCACGGACCCGGACATCATCACGGACCCGGACCTCATCACGGACCTGGACATCAACATGGCCCAGGATGGGGACACCCGTGGCATGGACAGGCAAGTGACTTCGATAAGCTGGCTCGTTACGTGATCTCTGCCGACAAGCAGGTATACAATAGTTGCAAGCAAAGCTCGTACAGCCGGGTGCGCGTGCTGCCGGGTGAGGACACGTACGCACTCAAGTACAACCTGCCGGAGTTCGCCGAGAGTGGCATCAAGTTGCAGATCAAACACCGTGTTATCTCGGCCACTGCAGAGGCCCAGGGCGTTCCCACCTTCAAGGACTTGAGAATCATCCCGGAATTTGTGAAAGTGGCTGACGCGTCCTGGTCCTTTCATAATGGTACTCTAACGGTTTTGATGCCGTACAAAAATCCTCTGAAAACCGAAGTAGCCTTAGATTGTACAAGTAATATAAATGAATCTGTTATCGATGTAGCCAAAATGACGAATTCTCCAGACGATCTGAGAATTTTGAATTGATAATTTTCGAAAAGCACTATAAGACGTATGTGATTAATTTATGTTTCAAATAGTATTCTGTATAGATTTATATAAAAGTTTGTTATTAATACATGTGTTTTTTATTCTTCCATTTATAACATAAACGACATACAATTATTATTTTATAATTTCTTTTCATTAAAGGTTACTCCTTGATTTTGTTACATTTATTCCATTTTTGTTTTATCAATGTGTTTGAAGGGGCAACAAAAACATGTTTTGCCATAAGTTTTTTGACACTGGAAACCTATAAATCAATAGACCGATAGAACGACTTTGTTTTATAGTCATACTTTGTGATGACTTGTACAGTCAGATGCATAAATATGTATTCATTTAAAAACTTCAGAAACTTGTATACGCTTTTGGTTTAAAAAATATGTATGTACGAATCTGTCCTTATGCTGCCGTCCATGTACTATGTTCTTGGCGAATACGTGCATAAGTATTTTTAAAACCGACGGCACCCTACACAAGTTTTTAAAGTTTTGTAAATATATAAATATTTATGCAGCTGACTGTATGTTAGTCACGTACAATAAATCAGAGCGGCCGAGCGCAGCCTGGGCGCCTGTTGCCACGCAACAGTTCTTATATGTACGTGATAAGCTTGCAGCAACGAACACGCAGGTAGGGTAACATACAATATGTCACCAGCAAATCGTGTACACCGCCCGATTCTAATTTGCCTAATTAAATCGTAATGATTGCATCGAACGAAAAGACAAAGAGAGTGACTTCCTCATTTCACATTAAAAAATTACCTAGTTCTCTAAATACATAAGTCATAGATCTGTCCTCTGCTATAACAAAGTTTAGTTCTTTTTCCACAGCGACATTTACTTTATCGTACTTTTCTCTTGATAGAGCTGTCGGTAATGTTCTTAAATGTTGCATTAAAGATTGGCAAGAATTTAAAAAAGAAATGTATTCTTCAATTATCCTTCCATCTCCCTAAGCCCTTACAATAAATGATGGACGTCATTGGATGTGGCCGTAAGATAGCCGAACAAAACGGTTGGTGGCTAAAGAGTAGAAAAGAAATTCTTCTGAAAGGCCTGTATATTTTAAAAATAAATTTGTAGTTAGATTTATAGAGTAAATAGTTGTAATATGCTAGAATAATAAATTAAAAAGCCACATCGTTAGCAATCATAAATAAAAAGTCGGAGTAATAGCAAAAACTCCATATTCCAATAATGTTGGCTGATATCCAATGCTCATTTCTCGCTACAAAGCCTTTAGAGGTTAAATAAGGATATATTTATAGCAAAATTGAATTTACATTCGCGTCGTTTCTTTTATATTTTCAATATGCAATTCGTTTTGAAATAAAGTTTGTATGTTTATCTTAAATTTTAATTTAAATATAATATAAAATTTAAAATAGATGGCATCTCCATATCTTCAATACTTTTACAATTTAAGTCAACGATATTAATAATATTTTAAGTATATTCAATGAAAAACTTGCAAATATTATTCAAATCTTGTTAAAAGAATGCGTTTTTTTACCGGCTCTGGATAAACGTCAATTATTTCTTACGCTAATGACCTTCGCAGTTTGTTTCGTGTTCAGTTTTGCGACGATATTCAGCTGTAATGGACATAATTAGACCACATTCATACGTGACTATTCTTTAAGAATTTATCCCGACAAATATATATTTTTACAGATAATTGCAATTAATTTAAAGAGGATTATCATCAATCATTTCTCTTAGGTATATTGTGAACGTAGAAAGTTTTGTTGAAAACTTTTGGGTTACAATTAAGTACATAGGAATTATTATTTTAGTCTAGGACATAGCGCTTATAATATTGTAATCAATCTTCCTTTTTATTAAATTAAAATCTCATCAAACATTAAAACGGTTCGTTCATTTTATTATTCTATGAAACATTATTATAGTCTTTGTTTGTTCATGCTACACTATAAAAGAGAGGTCAAGCAAAAGATTTCAACAGTTGCTTCAATTGTTGCATATGTAGAACCAGTAAATATAGATTGTGTACTTTTATTATGACAATATACGTTTTGTACACATTTTTAAAACGAAATATACCTAGATTTTCAATTAAATAATCGTTTTTCGTATAATTTTAGTGCAACTGTCAAAAATCTTTTACATAAGCTTTCTTCATTTTGCCCCTTTCTTCACTATACCCCGTACAAGCACTTATACATTTTAAAAATAACAAGCTGCAAGTTCCACCCGCAACCGCGCCAATTTGTTAAAAAATATTTGAAAAATAAGTTTGCGCGGTTTTAAATGCGCATTTCACATTCATGTTTCTCCGCACGGAAAGTTGAGAATCGTTCGTAAAAACTATAATTTGCAATATTTGAAAAAAAAAATACGCTAAACGTTTTACGAAAAAATTTAAGCTCCAGTTAGAGCGTTTTATACGTTTTTTAATTAGTTTGTTTATAATATATGTACGCATATGTATAAAATACATACAAACACAATCGGGAAAAGGACACGAATATTTTTACACATGAATTCTAGCTCTTTTATTTCTAGACAAACATCAGATTGGCAACACATTATTGGCGTATATGTGCTGCTTCTACTACTACTATATTTAGTTATTGTCATATCAAATAATTTATCAGCATTCGCGTGCATTGTATTGACTCCAATAAAACTCCAATGTGGCAGTGCAGCAACATTTTATGCAGCGGAATTGTTGGAACAGATGCCGCGAATTTCGCAAAACACGCCTAGAACAGATGCCGTGAACTGTGCGAAACAAAAATAGAATTACAACACCACGCGATGCAATTGATTACAAACATTTTTTTTATCTATTGCACTAACGGTCTGACGAATAAATTGTTATAGCAGTAACTGCAATAAACGAGAGTGATACATAGAAAAAGTTAAGTACATAGTTATTGTTTTAGTGACAAAAGGTTTGGGAACTATGTTCATTTAATCTGATTAGATTTTGTACATCAAGTCTTTTTAGAGATTTGTCAAATCTCATGGTAAGTTCTATGGTAAGGTAAACTTTCTAGGGCAAAAAAATCTTGGTATAATCTTTCTCGATTGTGGTAAAAATAAAAAAGCCATCTCTATTATTATAACCATGTTATTTATTCCATTGTGATAAATTTTTATTACTAAAGAATATAAATAATATTCATTTTAAAATACTCGTAACAGCTGTATCAAATTGCAGTGCATTTAAAAAAGTAAATTGCTTTATAAGATTACGTCGCCAATAGCGCTGGATTGCATACGGATTGTACGGAACAGAATTATTTAAAAACATCCTTTATAATTTAAATGGGGTAGTCAGTGTTAGATATTTTCAGGCACTTGTCATTTTTTAAAGGTAAATGAAGTCAAAGTAAAAATAAAATTGTGAAACAACTGTTAAAAAAGATCTTCATCATTCTTAGTTCATCTACACTACTTATTTATATTTATTATATTGTTAACATAATGGCATGGATATAAATTAGAAAATAAAACATTTTTAATAACAATTGCTTTTGTTTTTAAGTGAAAAAAATGATGGGATATGACTAGCAAGTGATAAAAATAATTAATATCATTTCATAATATTTATAAAGCAAATAAACCCATTAAAATGGAAATATCCGACAATATTCAAAATAAGGTGCAGCGAGTGAGGTACAGTCGTCGGTACAGTAATGCACCGCAGTGTAATTTCCGTTGCGCTATCGTAAATAAAATCTACGAAATGACATTTATAACATTCCGGTATGAACCGGTTCACACCGGCGTTCGGTCAGATATTATCAATGGCAAAAATTAAACGAATGGAAATGATATTGAGAAAATTAAAATTTATATTAAAAATGCAAACCAGCAGCGGATCATCTGATGTTCATTTACCCGATATCCATAACAAGGAACCGCAAATGCAGTAAAACCATAACGTAAAATTCATAAAATAATATTTTTTGTTTGTTTAAAAAAGGTGTATTTTAATTTAATTTCTGGGAATATTTTTGTTTTAACTCAAATAGTTGTTACTATAATTATCGAAAAGAATAATTTCGTCGTTAGGAAGATAGTTATCTCCATTTTCTTCAGATGTAATTTCCTTTAAAAGTAATTTATGTCATCTCTAGGTGTACTTTAACTTACAACAAGTCTCACGTACCGCACATTAGTTTGTCCAAAATGGTGCAGTGAGTTACGTTTTTAAAAATAGTACGATGTAAGGTTACCTCTTCTAAATGCTTTTATAATTTATTTCGTAATTCTTTTGTTAACCAATTTTGTTTCATAATCTTTGATTAATTTATTGCATGTCACCGATTAATCGCGAATGCTGAATGTTCTAAATTTGCCTTTTTTTTATAAAGCTACGGAGTTTTTTACTTATTATTGATATACTTTGAAATTTAACGCGAATGGTAGAGTCAAATAAAAAGAGTGGCAGTTGCGGACGCGGCGCGGGCTGCGCGCTGTAATTAACGCTTCAGCCGGAACTTTCGTGTCCAGAAATGGTTTTTGTACTATTCTAGTTCGGTAACTATTGCCAAAACCATGTTCAATTTGCATTTCACTGGATACACATTGAAAAATAGATTATCATTAGATAACCAAAGACTCATGTTTTTGTGTCTACATAGTATGTGGCATACGGCATAGAGGAAGACCTACTTATCTATCGAGTTGTTAGCTGAGAGTAGCTGATGACGATATATCATTCTTCTCGATTTATTTTACTAGAGGGCTACAGTGCTACGATATTATAATGTTCCTAATATTATGAAGGTAAAGTATAGATAAATGGATGTTTGTTAAAAGGTATCTTCGGAACGGCTCAACGAATCTTGATGCAATTTGGCAAAGATGTAGATCATAGCCTGGAAGAACAAATAAGTCTTCTTTTTTAATTTCACGAGGATGTTATCGCGGGCAAAAGCTAGTGACAAATAAATACTGAATTTTTAGCACTGTTTATAAAACCTGTCTACGTTGGCACCGTGTCTAAACGTAGAATTCCACTGCCGTTACATTTGTATTATTTTATATTATCATATCAAGCATTCTCTGTGACAAAATCTGTTTATTAATACAGGTATCGAGGCAGTGGAATTCTATGGTTACTAAAGAAGAATTGGCGTACGTCCAGTGAATGTGAAAAGTCAATGTAATTCTTTGA